CACTAAGCTACCAGGGTTCCATGCATATATATATATATATATATATATGTATACATATATGTATTATGTTTCCTTCTGAACTGTTTAAATTTTAAAAAATATTTTTTTTAGAAGAATAACTAAGGGAGTGGTGTGTGCTCCACTTCCAAATGTCACAAATTCCATTCAACACACCATGTTGTTGTTATTAGGTGCCGTCAAGTAGGTTCTGACTCATAGCGACCCAGAACAAAGCACTGCCCAGTCCAACACCATCCTCACAATTGTTGCTATGCTTGAGCCCATTGTTGCAGCCACCGTGTCAATCCATCTCCTTGAGGGTCTTCCTCTTTTTCACTGACCCCCTACTTTACCAAGCATGATGTCCTTCTCCAGGGATTGATCCCTCCTGATAACATATCCAAAGTATATGAGATGTAGTCTCACCATCCTTGCTTCTAAGGAGCATTCTGGTTGTACTTCTTCTAAGACAGATTTGTTCGTTCTTTTGGCAGTCCATGGAATGTTCAATTATTCTTCGCCAACACTACCATTCAGAGGCATCAATTCTTCTTCGGTCTTCCTTATTCATTGTACAGCTTTCGCGTGCATAGGAGGCGATTAAAAATACCATGGATTCGGTCAACGCACCTTAGTCCTCAAGGTGACGTCTTTGCTTTTCAACACTTTAAAGGGTCTTTTGCAGCTGATTTGCCTAATACAATGCGTCTTTTGATTTCTTAAGTGCTGCTTCCATGGGTGTTGATTGTGGATCCAAGTAAAATGAAATCCTTGACAACTTCAATCTTTTCTCCGTTTATCATGATGTTGCTTATTGGTCAACACTTCATACTGGAGTGAAAATGGTTGTTTTCAGATCCTTCTCCTAGATCTGGTTTCCAAATTAACTTCATTAGGAGGATCACATGGGACAGTTATTAAAAATCTCAGATTCTTGGGCTCCATCCCAAACTTATTAAATCAGATCCTTTGGAAACTAGTATTTTCAACTAGTCCCCCAGGATAATTTGTCTAGGGGATTTTTGGTAAACCTTGCCCTCTGGCAGACCTTCTCAAACTTCAGCAGGTAGGTGAATCACCTGGGGGGTCAGTTAAAATGCAAGGCTGGGGTGGGGCTGGGATAAGGCTGAGATTCTGCATCTGTAAAGATCTCCCAGGTGAAGGAGGTCCCTGTTGACCACCCCCCAGGCTACGAAATAACAGCTGAGAGCCTGGAGTAAAGAGCAGAAGGAGACTCGCCCCCACCCCCACCCAGCTTCCCTCCAGAGCTATGGGGTTGGAAACATAAAAAGAACATTTCCTGAACTGACTCCCCCATTTTGCTAATATGTTTATTATTACTGTATTAGTCCAATAGCAATCATGTTTTTGACAGGCTGGTGAACGTATTGTCTGTAGAGCCTGCTAGCTGGACAAGAGTTGCAAATTCCACCTCACCCACTCTCCAACGTCACAAACACACACAAAAGCAAGACCACCTTCACTTGGAAATTGCAGACACAAGACTAAATGGGGTTTAGGTGAAGTTCGTTAGTTGCCACCGAGTTGGCTGCAGCTCACGACGACCTAATGTACAACAGAATGAAACGTTGCCTGATCCTGCGCCATCTTCGTGATCCTTGGTACGTTGGACTCCATTGTTGAGGGTATTGTGTCAATCCATCTCCTTGAGGGTTTCCCTAATGTACTTTGGCCCTCTACTTCACCACTAGAGTCCCTGGATGGCACAAATGGTTAAGTTAGTTCGAACCCACCCAGAGGTGCCTCGGAAGACAGGTTTGGTGATCTGCTCCTGAAAGGTTAAAACAAAAAAAACCTGTTGCTGTCGTCAATTCCCACTCATTGCGACCCTGTAGGACAGAGCCGAACTGCCCCACAGGGTTTTTAACGCTGTAAATCTTTACAGAAGCAGATTGACACATTCTGTCTCCTGTGGAGCGGCTACTGCGTTCAAACCCCCAAACTTTTGGTTAGCAGCGGAGCACCAAACCTTGAAAACCTTATGGAGCAGTTCTACTCTGCACACATGGGGATGCCATGAGTCTGAATCAACTGGAGGCCAGCTAACAGCTACTTTACAGGTGGGGGAGGATAGGTCAAATGCAGTTAACTTAGTGGGATGCTTGGGGCTAGGTTATTATTCAAAGAGACTGGTGCCCAGAGAGCCCTGATGGCACGGTGATTAAAGTACTCAGCTGCCAACCAAAAGGTCCACAGTTCGAACCCACCAGCACCTCCTCGGGAGAAAGATGTGGTAGCATGCTTCCATAAAGATTATAGCCTTGGAAACCCTATGGGGCAGTTCTACTTTGTCCTACAGGGTCTCTAAGAGTCGGAATCGACTGGATGGCAGTGGGTTTTGTTTTGTTTTGATGCCCAGAGGGAAGGGCCTAGTTTCTAGAAGGGCATCACCTGACCTTCTTGTAGGGGGCAAAAAGGGCCGGTAATGTTCCTGTGTGCTATGAAGTCAATTGTGACTCATAGCGACCCTATAGGACAGAGTAGAACTGCCGTATTGGAGCCCTGGTGGTGTAGTGATTAAGAGCTCAGCTGATAGCCAGAAGGTTGGCAGTTCAAATCCACTAGCTGCTCCTTGGAAACCCTATGGGGCAGTTCTACCCTGTCCTGTAGGATCATTATTAGTTGGAACCAACTCGATGGCACCTAACAACAACACAGGGTTTCCTAGGTTGGGATCGTTACAGAGCAGATCGCTGGTGGATTTGAACCGCTGACCTTTCAGTTAGCGCCAAGCTCTTAACCATTGTGCCACTAGGGCTCCTCGCTGGTGGGAAAAACAAGGAACAGTGATTGGGCCTATGAGGGGGAACATGAAGACCAGATGGGAAGGATTCTCCTTCCCTAACAATGGAAGCAATGGTGTGGGGGAGGGGGCATGAGGGAGAATGCGGGGCCTTGCGCTGAGAAGTTTGGGCCAGGGCACACCTGAGCAACTCAGGGTTGGGCTAAAGCAGCTGCCAGGAAGCACTGGGACTTGAAAGCCTGAGACGGAGCCCAGCTGATGGGAATAATGAAACAAGTGCCAGAAGATTCTTTCCATTCTCATGAAACATCTTGTGCTCCTAAAGTGGTGACTGTGAATCATGTGAGACACAGTAACAAGGACAGCTGTGTACTGACCTTTGCAGTGGCCAGGACGTGCACGA